AGCTAATGGTTGGGGTTTTGGCGATAGAGGTCCAGTGGCTGCCATCACTGGCGAGGCTCCAGTCACCAGTAGTGGTCTCCAGTTATAGTGATTGTGGTTTTTTTAATGTTTAAACCTAGGGTATTTTTGTCTTTTTTGCATTTAAGTTATTTTCAATTCAATCCTAGAGGACTGAACTAAAGTTTCAGGTTCTTTAGCAATCCACCAAAAATTATGTATCTTCCCAGGTCCTTAATTGAAATTCTCCTTATTTTAAATTTTTTGTGGTGCTATATCCCCTTTTAACATTTAAAAATGATACAATTTTGCCCTTTATAATTTAATGTGTTAAGTTTGACCATTAGTTATGTTGAATATTATAAATATTTTTGAGTATTTCAAAAGAAATTATTATAAATTAATAATATAATTTAAAGAACATTATTATTTGAAACCGTTTTCTTAATTGCAATTAAGGTAGTTTTATTGCCCAGCATTATGAGATATGCCTATAAAAGGTAGTGCTTGTCAAAAGTTCTGCAAGAGGCTTGGTGCTCTATACCTTTCTCCTCTCTTTTATCATATCAATTTACTATGTAGTTACTTGAATTTATTCTATGAATTTCTGTTATTTTATGTCCCTACTTTTAGTAGAAAGAGTCTATTTAATCCTAGGAAGTTATTGCGTGATCAACCCAGTGTGGTGGAATAACTTTTAAGGACAATATTTTTGAGTATGACGCAAACTATGATTTCACCAACTATTGACAACAATCTTGACAGCTACTTTTAGCATGTTGGTCTTGTTTAGTTGTACAAAACTTGGTGGGTTTGGACCCAATAGAGTTGTGTGGTAAGGCAATGAGTTTTGATGATGTTTGTAAACATGATTAGGTGATGGGGTACATGCAAGTGTGTATATGCTAAAATAGGCAATGGTGAATATGAACATCAATAATGTCAAATTTTCCCGTGAATATGAATACCAAGAATGTTAAATTTGCCCTAAAATTTAGACTCATTTGAGACCTTGTAGGCACATCATTTTGGATGAAAAATCCCAAGATGAATGCCACATCGGGCACACCCATCCAATATGGTGATTCAAATTGATGACAGGCCCAATGAAAAAGATTTGTGCATGTGCTGTTGTTGATGAACATGTTTCCAGAGATTGTTTCATCATTCATACGTCTTGGTTTTTTGCCTTAGGTATGTATGCATACTTCCTCAGGCCTATAATTTTACATATATATGGGTGCTAAAGTGAGGGAGGAATTATGTGTGCGCATAATAGTACAATTTGTTGGTTTGGGTCAAATGAGAATGAATTCCTGTCGAAAAATGTCTATTTTTCTTACTCTATGATACATTTAGTCGAATGGAATAAGGGTAATGTGGTTAGAATTTTTGGATATTGGACTGCGACATTAAAAAAAACTCTATGATATTTTGTGGGCTTAGTTCTTCTTAAAGAAAATCACTCACTCTCATATAAGGGATGAATGAAGTAGTCAAAGAGACGTTTTAAGTTTTAACATGATTTATTTTGTTAAGAATGATTTATGGTAGTTTGTGAGGCTATTATATATTGATAACGATCTAAATATTTATGCAAATTGATTTGAAATAATGGTAGTATTCAAGATTAAAACGTTCCTACATCAACCATGGTTTGAAGTGACAGTTTTATATTAAGTTGCTCTCTAATTATTTGTTTATAACATAAAATTAATTGTTCTTAAAGAATATAATATTTAATATTCTTTTGTGGCTTGACCTTAAGTTACTACCGGTGAGATAATATTTATTGTATATACACTACTCTATATGTGAAAGTGCTTGAATTATGCATCTATAGGTCGAACAATTTAATTTGGACTCAAGGATAATAAAAACTAGTAGTACACAATGTTCGGTTTTGATGGGAGATATTGGTTTTTATGTTGTTGTTTAAGGATTCCAATTGGGCATGAAGGAGTTATTTCATAATTTGAGATAATTAATGATAAGTGTGACTGATTTTATATCTATAATTTATATTACAGTTTATAAATTGGTGTAAGCATGGTTGTTTTTATGCTATGATAAGCACAGTGATATCACTATTTTTCCTTTATCTATCATAATTGCACATTTCTAATTTAATTAGAATGGGAGGAGATTATGTGATGAGTTTATAATTTAATTAGAATTATTATTGATAAGTTATGGAAAATATTTAAATATTTTTCATATATGTGGTTGAAATATATTTGAAAGTGTGGGGGTAGAAAAATATTTTGCTTTACTCTAGAGAATTAATTGTATGTTGTATCATATTATTAGCTTCATTCTATAAATGTCAAGATGGCTTTATATTGTGATTTAGAGAAAATATTATATGGAGGCTTTATTATTTGCATAAATGCAAAAATTGTGATTTATCATTTTGTGTCGCTTGCAACAAGCTTTATGATAATGGCACCAATTTAATCATTTGTCTAGTATAGATAAATGTATTTAAAAAAAATAGGTACATGAGCTATTTAATTATTTTGTCACAAATATTCATTATTATGAATAATGATTTGTTTATATGCATTATGCTCCCATGAGATAACTATTTTTTTTAAATTATGAAATTAAGAATAGTGGATTCCCATTGTATAAAATACATGGATGTTTATTAAGTTATAAATTTGTGTGAGAAAACCCACTAGTGATTATCCACTCTTGGTAGTGATGAAATCAAAATATAATGATAGGACTATAATGAAGTCCAAGATAATTAATTTGAAACTGAATTGGAGGCTAATTGGTTAGAGATCATCCAAGCAATTATTTTATTGTGTAAAACCAACACTTAGTGTTGATGAATTCTTATGAGGTTGATATGTCATTTAAAAAAATGATATATTTTTGTTGCTCAATTTATGTATGTACAAATTTGTGAGTTTGTTGCATTAATAAGTGTTAATCCCATAGCATACATTGCATGGAGATTAAGTCTCATAAGAGCGTGAGATAAATGAGTATTTGAGGGATACCATAAATGTTGGTATCACATATAATAGATTTCCATTATATTAAGACAATACAATGATGTTAAATGAATTTTATATTCAGATGAAGAAAAATCTATTAGTAGCCAAATAAAGTGTTATTTAAGCCAGAGTTTGTTACTCTAAAGTTGGCTAATAATGAGGCTAAGTACTTAAGAAACTTCTTAGTAAATATTCTACTATGAGTAAAACCAACACAAGCCACATTGATGATTTATGATTGCCAAATGGCAATAGTCATTGCAAAGAGAACAATAACATAGGTAAAAATTGTTTGAGATATAATTAAGCATACTTAAAAAGGGAGTTATTTCAATCAATTATGTGAGATCAGATGTAAATTTGATGGATCTGTTAACTAGCCCCTAGGGAAGAGATTAATTATTTAAATGTTGAGGGGAATGGGACTTATGCCTATTTGAAATTAACGGTGATGGTAACCCAACCTCTGTGATTGGAGATCCCATGAAGAACAAGTCATTTGTTAGTTCTGCTAGTACTAAATTTTTCGTCCCTTCCTATAGCTTGAGAAAGTACTAGAATGTATTGATCGGAGGTTGAGCGAAAGCTCTTAATGTTTTTCATAGTCCTTATGAATGGTGTATTCATTACAAATATACTTGATGAAAACACTTATACAAATGTGGAGTGGGGTCGCTCTTATGAGATCGTGGCAAAATCTCTAGAGCATTTGTTAAAACCAAGCGCATGCATGGACGATAAAGAGCAAAACTGTTGTTAGCAATATAAATTGTGAGAGTATAATTCGACTAATAAGACCTCTAGCACACAACCAAGATTGTTGGTTCAATAACAAAGTTATACTTACTTTTGTGTGTGCTAAGTTTTATTGTTTTAAGTTTAGTTCAAGTCAAAAGACACCAAATTCAAAATGATTGTCTTTCGTGTGAATAATTCAGATGATAGTGGTTTTTTTGACACACGTGGGGGATTGTTGCAATTGTGTCAAAAAGAAAAGTCTCATATTGCTCAAATGCATGGAGGTCTTAGTTTATAAATACTAAGATGTGAACTTGGGCTAGTAAAGGCTTAAAGGAGAAATGGGCTCTCACATGCATTTGCACATGAATTAGACATGGTACTGGGCAATTTGTCAAAATTTTGGAAACTATTTTTTAGAGATACTAAATTATTTATATAAGATAATTTTTCCAAAAATTTTCCTTCCTTTTGAAATATGTGGGGGATTGTTGGATATTATAAATATTTTTAAGTATTTCAAAAAGAATTATTACAAATTAATAATATTAATTATTTTTTAAGTCTATTTATTATTTTGTAACATATAATTTAAAAAACATTATTCTTTGAAACCATTTTCTTAATTGTGATTAAGGTAATTTTATTACCCAACATTATGAGATATGCCTATAAAAGGCAGTGCTTGTCAAAAGTTCTGGAAAAGGCTTGGTGCTCTCCGCCTTTCTCCCCTCTTCTATCATATTGATTCACTATGTCTGTGAATTTCTATTGTATCGTGTCTGTAATGACTCAAAGTTCTAAATATAAATTTAAAATTTATAATAAGGTATTTGAAATATGTTTTATAAATTTTAATAATTTTGGGTAAAATATAACAAGAAAGATGTGGTGGTTTAATGAAAATTCTTTTGATGTCTACTCTCAAGTGTTGGATTTAAATTCTTAAGGAAAAATGGATGTATTAAATAATAATAATAATAAAAAGATAAATTTTATGTTAAGGTATGTTAATTATATTTTGATATATTTAGGCGCTAATTTTTTAAAGTAAATTGATGGCACGGTGGTAAGCATCATTTGGCTTAAGTTTAAAGTTTCGTGTTCGGCTCCTCTTATGCTGAATGGGATTATATTTATTTTTTTATTTTTTAGGCTTAGGTATAATTACCTTTTTGTCCTTGGCTCCATCAGAATTTTTTAGCTTACTTCTTCTCGATTATATTTGGGCACTTTTGGCTTTATTGGAGACAACAACAGCTTGCCCAGAACCTTCACCCTCGTGCTCCAGCTTCCAGAATTTTCCCCGTTCGTACTTGGTACCATCGTCGGAGTGGAGCTGTGCCGTTCCTGTCCCCCAAACTTATAATCTGTTCTTTCTTTTTTATGCTGGAAATTGCTGATCGAGATCTTCCTCTTCCTCTATCCATGTGATCTGTAAGGGTTTAAGCTTTTCTCTCCCTTTAGCTTTGTCTCTCTTCGTCCGCTGCCAGTAAATGGAGGAAAACACTGAAGTCCTCCTCCTTCGACGGTGATGGAGTGTGCGTGCATCAATCTTCTCTCTCCCTTGTTCTTCAACATGAGCTTCCTCCCTCTGTTCGAGCTACTTCAGGTTCTTCCTCCTCCTCCGTTTTCTATCTTTATTTCTCTTCATTTTATTGGACTGGTTGGGTGTGGCAATTTTGAACCCTCCTTCTAGTACGACATATGTACGTGGGTCTTAGGGGTATGAAATTTCTAAATTCTTTCTTCCTAATTCTGCTGCTATCCGTGACTGTGAGGATGTGAGGATTCAGTTAAGCTAAAATTCATCTTTTAAGAGCACATCTTTAGCATGTGGTTTCAGTCGAAAATTTTGACCATTATAAGAGGAAGAGGAGTTGATTCTTCTTCAAGCCTGAATTGGTATTTCTTTGAGACTCAGGTTGATTTTATTCTAGGAACAGAACGTAGGAAGTTAAATAATTTCAATAATTATATTGGAGAATTTTTGGAAAGAAAATTGACAAGAAAGCAGTTTGGGTAATAGTTGGGTGTGTAAAGTATTGGAAAGATTGAGCTGAGACTTGATTGATTAAATTATGATGATTTGGAGCCTAACTGATTATTATGTTGCTAATACCGGAGGATAATTTATTTAAGTGAAGTAAGGCCATTAAATCATCCTTGTATATTGGGTAAGGTGTTTAAGGGGAGGAGTTGGTTGAAGTTGGAATAAGTGCATTGCTAATCTTGAGAATACTACAAGTAAGTGGATAGCATTCTAACTAATTTATTAATTAATTTTTTTATTAAAATTTATTTTGTTACATTGATTATTTTTAATAATAATTATGTTGATTGGTGGATGCTTTGTTAATTAAATTTCTTCATTTTTTTAAGTTTTAAGATGGTGGTGAAAAATGATTCTTTATAGCATATGAATGTTTTACCTTTATGAGATATCCTTTCAGGATTGATAAAATACCTTTCACTAGCATTGGCAATTTTTGATCATTCAATAAATGTAAGCATGAGCAATGGATATGAAATTTTATTCTGGCAAGTTTTAATGCTTAAAACTATTCATGTGAGTTAGATTTTGAGAATAAGAATTGTATTTTGAAAGTAATGATTTTCGCGAATGTTTGGAAATGGTTTTTAAAAGGGGATTTTATATAGAATACTGGTTGCTAACGGCAGTTCCGTTAGCCCTTGCGCGCCATGATCAATGACTAGCTAGTTTGATTTTCGTGATCTTTATTCTCATATTTGTTATTTGTGGGTTTTGTACCCGCGTTTGATTTCGTGGCCTTGATCCACGTTTGGGTAGCTTTACCCTCGTGGACTGTGTGTTCACGTTTGTTTTTGTGGCTTCAAGCTGCATTTGGTTAACATTACCCTCGTGGACTGTGTGTTCACGTTTGTTTCGTAACTCAAGCTGCGTTTGGTTATTTACCCTCGTGGATTATGTGTCCACGTTTGTTTTCGTGGCATAAGCTGCGTTTGGTTATTTACCCTCGTGGACTATGTGTCCACATTTGTAAATTGTTCTGATAAATCCCAAAAAAAAATGTGAATTTCTAATTAATTGATGATTTCACACTCTAATGGTTTTAATTAGCAAATGTCATTATTTTTATTTATGTATTTATTTAATTATTTTAATTTGTCAAGATCAAATGTTAAAGTTGTTTCGTCGCTATAAATTTAAAGTTTCTTGATAATGGAATTATATAGAACTTTTACTTGAGCTTGCAAATTCGTTTATATTGAGTTATTTTCTCTTTAATTTATGTAACTATTATATCTTATTCACTTCAATTTTTTTAAAAAAATGTATTATGATTGGGACGTTATTCACTGAAAATTATTATTTTGGTCTCAGACACGATAACTGATATTGTACCTTCCATTGATCATTGAGGGGTTGTGGTATTTAGTGGAAGTGAAGAATTGTAGATTAAACATTTTTTTATATGTAAACTTAAATTCATGTATTATTTTACAAATTATTATGTCAAATGTTCCACAAAAGCTATAGTTAGGGTCCTCATCCTTATTAATTATATTTTTTTTGTTATCTATTGATGGCTATCGAGTCCCTTATTAATGCTATTGCTTTTGTAAAATGGTTGTAGATTTATTTTTGGGAGGCTTTATTGAGGGGGAAGGTTTTGTCGAAATTTTTACAAAAAGTCTAGAAATCTTTTATTTATATAATAATAATAATAATAATAATAATACATATATTAAGGCTTTATTTAAATGAAATGTATTTTTAAAATGAAACATTTCTTGAATTAGGCTTAAGGGATGGGTGTTTATGTACATATCCCATGCCGGTCACTCTCATGTTTTGGGATGTGACGTGTTCCTATTTTTAGTAGAAAGAGTCTATTTAATCTGAGGAGCTGCCGTGTGATCAAGCCAATGTGGCAGAATAGCTCTTAAGGGCAGTGTTCTTAGGCATGACTTAGACTATAATTTCACCAACTATTGACAACAAGTTAATGCCAAGAATTACAAAAAAATAACCTTAAAAATTACATTAAAGGATCCTATAAGAAAATTGATATAGATTATGTCCTTTAAATTACAAGTAAATCCTAGAAGATTAATATTATTTTTTACTCATATAAAGGATAAAAATATAATTTTGACCAACTACTTTGACTTATTAATAAGTATTAATTTTTTTATATAATACTTATTTATAACTTTTTGGGTTTTTTTTTGTGCAATTGCTAGTAATTGTTTGAGTCAACTAATGATTAAAATTAATCTTTGTTAATAATAACCAAACATATCCTAAGGCAACATTGCACCTTTTTAAATTGTTAAAAGGAAACATTGCTTAACAAAAAAGTTTAAGATACTAAATATTCCTACACAAATAGTTGAAGTGTTAAAATGTCCTTTAACATTTAACATTGAATAAAATTCATTTTTTAATTTTAAACTTTATGAAAACACACACCTTATGTGTTTAATCTAAGTGAATATTATGTCTAGGTTCCAAATAAAAAAATAATTATTTATAAGTTTATCTCCTTGTAAACAATAAAGTTCAACATGTAAATATGAAAATTGGACTTTTTTTAATAAAAGATCTATTAATTAAAATGAAGGTTAATGTGTAATTTTACCCTTAAATTATTCTCAGAGAAGCAATGTTGCTTTTAAACTAATCGTTATAGTAATGTTGTCCATAAACTAATTAAATCGAAGCAATGTTGTTCTTGCTGTTTAAACGTTTATTACTATAGTTAGTGGGATTCACTTTTCATGAATTAAGGTACAATTTTGTTCCTAAACTATTCTTACAGCAGTAATGTTTCCCTCACCATTTAAAAATCATAAAATTATAAAAATATTAAATAAAAATAATATTAAATATATATATAACAAATATAAGAAAAAATATAAATTATAATTTTATAACTTATCAAATATAAGTAGATTTTGATTAAATTAGACAAGAGTAGACTCAAAAGTATTTACATTTACACTTATAACTATCGACATTTTTATAAAAAATGATCTCAAATCATATTTTAGATATGTAAGTTGTTTAAAAATTGTAATGACTATAAATTTTGAATTAAATAAATTTCTCTTATAATTGATATTTTATTTAATTATTTCAATTTAACAAGTAGATGGTGGTTATTTATTGAAACTTAAGCTAGCAACTTATTGGAAGATTCAAAGTTCAAATTCTCTTAAGCAAAGGCTAATTTTATTTTATCATGGTTATGAGAAAATTTTCAAAAAAAAAAAACAGAGAGAAAATACCTTGTCTCTTATGTTATAATATGTAAAAAACTTAGGTCCATCCTTGTAATTTTCTCAATCCTCCCCTTTTTAAGTCAGATTTTTCTTCTTCCTCTATCGTCTTAACGATAGAACCTATGAGAGAGTGGGAGAGAATTCTATAAAATTTCATTGTCATACCCTGAAATTTAGGCATGACCGGCACAAGATATATGTACAAACATATATCCCTTAAGCCCAAATCAAGAAAACTTTAACTTAATATCTTAGTTTATTTGAAATATGATTGGAAATATTCATAGTAACATTTCCACCTAAATAAAAGATTTTTAAACTTTCTATAGAAATTTTGGCAAAACTTTCTCTATAAATAGGACCTCCTGAATCTCTACAATAATCATTTATAGACAAATTACTAATACGGAGCTTTGCTCCTCGACAATAGACAATCAATATAAATTTACAAATTAAAATCACATCTATAGTTAATGTGGAGCACCTGAATTATAATTTCTAAATAAAGTACATAATTGAATATATATCTAAAAAAACATTCTCAAAATAAATATTCACCCAGCTCCACAGCAATCCTTTCAGTGATCGACAATTGATTCAGCAACAGCTAATGAATCTGAGATCAAAATATTTTTCAGTGAATAGCATTCCCAAAATATGAAATTTAAAAGAGTAAAAATGTTAAACTCAAACAATTATATAAAATAATTAGAAAAATAATGATTCAATATAATAAACTTAATAAATTTGCAAATCTTAATCATAATTATAAAATAAGAGTGTATTGAAATTGCTTTATTCTCTTATGCTTGAAGAAAAAAAATTATCCATATATAAATTAAATTAGTACACTTGCTAACTAAAACCACTGAAATTTCAAATACACAAGTTGATTAAAACTTTAAAACTTTGAGGACTTAACAGAACAGGTAACAAATGTGGACACACAGTCCATGAGGGTAAATAACCAAACACGGCAAATGCCACCAAAACAAATGTGGACACACAGTCCATAAGGTAATGTTGACCAAACGCGGCTTAAAGCCATGAAACAAACATGAGTACGATGCTCACAAATAACTATCCCTCTATTCCACGTACGTTGGCCATCGCACGAGGCTAGCGCCTCTTAGAAACACCTTGCTAACTAAGTGTATTATGGTACGCCAAAGGTTAACGGGACTGCCGTTAGCAACCAGTGTTATATATAAAGTCCTCTAAAAATCACTTTTCAAACATGCGAGAAGAATCATTTTTGAAATACAATTTGTATTCTCAATACCAAACTCGCATGAATCATTTCAAATCTCAAAGCTTGCTATAATAATATTTCATAGCTAATTTACAAGCTTGTATTAGTTGAGTAACTAAGAATTTCCAAAGTAAAATAAACAAAGATGCCTTTATCAATCTTGAAGTGTATTTCTTAACAAAAACTACATGCAGATCTCATAATTTAATTATTCTTTATCACTATTCTATAATTTTCAAAACTAAAATAATTTAATTAACAAAATACTCACTAATCGTAGCAGTTGTAAAAATGATTTATATAAAGATGTAATATTTTTAATAACAAACTACTTTTATTGGTAAAATAATGGGGGTGTTATTTACTTACCTGGTAATTTTTTTTAAATAAACAACTTATTTCAAACTGTCCTCCTGTAACAATGCTTGGTCACTATATCCTAGTACCAGGTAACACCATTTGTCATTTTCTTTTATAATTTTTTATTACCCAAGATCTTCAATCTAAAATAACTCATAAAAATAATACAAATTTTCATTTCAACTCCTCCCCACACATTGCATCGAACATTCCATAAATATTCAAGAGATCAATTCACGAATAGCAATTTGGTACTTGAATTACCAATGAAAGTACCCTTTTCAAAAATCTCTATTTTCATTTTCCAGCATATACTGAAATTATTCCAATCAAGCATTTTATTGACCATCTTGTATGCATCAAAATTCAAACAATTACCAGGCTTTCCCTTCTCAATTCCCTTCCTAAAATTTTTTCAAATAACAATATTTAGACTAATCAAGCTTCTCAAAGTCTACCCTTCAACAAAAACATTAGTTTTAACTTCAAAGGAAAAAAAAAATTTACGATTAGTCTCCATTGACAGTAACCCAAGACAACTATATTGAAATCAATTTAGTTTACTCAATTGTTTTTGTTTTCTTTCTTTGTTTTTTTAACTCATCATAGATTACGGTAGCCAAGGAAAGAGAGGGGTAAGATTCTGAACATCAATTACTCCTGCTTATCATGCATAGTAGCAATCAAAAATAGGAAAGAGCACAGCCCAACCTTATAACATACTCACAAGATCAGGGAGGAGGAAGACAAAAGACTCTCACCTCAAGTTAGCAATAGCAGAAAGAGGATGAAGAATAGCAATGGCAGAGGTAAATAGTAATGGCAGAGGCAGAAGAAGAGTGTCGGCCAGACAGGGGAAGAGGGATGATCACAAATCGAGACCCTCTACAACAACAAATTAGCTCCGACAGCATGGAATTGAAGACCCCAACACGACACTATCAGAGGAGGAAGAAGAACAGTGACCGAAGGGAGGATGAAGGGAGAAATCGACAGTGTTCCAAGGAAGAATACTCATAGCTCAATCCCTAGCAGCGGCGGACAGAATGCTCAACCTCTTCCATGGCAATGACGTTGAAGATGAAGAAAGAGATGGAGGAAGAACAGAGACCAGAGCCTAAGGTCTGAACTCTCTCTCTTCCTCTCGCACTGTCTGGAAAATTCGAAAATGGAGGAGGATAGGAGAATAGTCCTAATGCGTGTCCTGTTTCTGATTTGCCTCTCCTTATTTTATTTTTTTCAAGGGTATGATAGTAATTTCACCTAAACTGAAAGGAAAAGGAAAATCTTCCACATCCAGGTAAATTCGAACTCAAAACTTATGTATAAAGATTCAGAGTCATTGCCACTAAGTCATTAGTTCACTCTTGTTAAACTACCCCAAATAATATATTAATATATATATATATATAGTTAAAATACCTTACTATAAATTTTAATTAAATTTTTGAGTTATTACATTCATCTTTGTCCTTCTCCATTCTAGCACGTCCATCGACTTGGGTATGTGATCACCATGATCGAATGATGCTAAGGGTCCACACATCGTCCTCTCCGTCTTGTTTCACAGTATTCACTGTTAGTAATCTTTGCCTAACTTGTTTGTCTGTTCTTTATCTGCATCATTGACTGTTCTATTTCTTTCTTGCTCTTCTCTTTTTATGTGACGGCTTCCCTTCTTCTTGCTTCAAGTTGCTGTTACATTCGTGGGTATGGCTATGGCTGTGGGGGCATTAAAATTCTTCCTTCCATGCTTCCTGGCACCACTATCACCTTTCCCTGTTTGGCTATCAGGTTTTACTCTTTCCTTATTGAGTTAGAGCAACATGCAAGTGGGTTGTCATTCTGGTGTGACTAAGTATCTGCCAGACTCCTTTCTCCCTTACTGTACCATCAACCTTCTCCCTCCTTCTTCTCCAGCATTACATGACAGCATCTCCATCTCTACCTTTTTTTTTTTTGAAATCACGGATCTAGTGTGCTGGAGCTTCAAGCTCTTCTCTTCATTTCTTCAATTGACTTGGTGAGTTGAATCCACTTTTCTCCCTCTATCTCTCGACCATGTATGTGTGTTGTATGTGTGTTGTTTTGTATTGTCTAAAGTGATTTTGGTGTCTTCCCTTATTGAAGTCCTAATCAAGCTTTGAGTATTTGTTTAAGCACTTGGTTAATGTAAGAAGAAAGGAGTTCAGTTGATGTTTTTAATTTAAAATTTTACTGGACACAACTGGAATGAATTTAAGGAGAAACTGGATTGGAATTATAGATTGAGGATTAATGCTTATGAAATGTTCGATAAAATGCCTATAAAGAAAAGTTGGCATATGATGACAATATATATGTGATGATTATAATGTTAGTTAAGTAAATTGTCTTTAGATCATTCCTCTCTTTTATAGAAGTTGAAGTTTGATTAGTTCAAATATGGATATAGGACAACTTTTAGAAAGGTAATTGTAAATAAAAAAGAACTTGGTCATATGGTCTAAACATTATGCAAAATAAATGGTGTTTGACAAAATATTTTGTAATTGTTATGTCATTGTTGACTAAATAATTATGGAAGACGTTTGTTCTTTGCAATGATAGTTAAAGTAGAATTTAGAGCCTTTTAGAAGATATATTTGAGTTAGTAATTTAAGAATCAAATTGTTATTTATGAATTCATTCATTCTTAGGATGTACCTAAGGTATTCCATAAAGTGAATAATTGAAGAATTGTAGACTGATAGAGTATTTGCTGGTAGAGTGACACATACTCTTGATTAGTAATTAGTCGTGGGGAAACTTTGAGAAATAAATGATGATTTGGAAACTCTAAATTACTTGAATTGAATATTGGTTGTGTTAGTGTTGGAAAATAATTTATTGAACTTATGGAAAGGTTATTTAGACTCTATTATTTTTGTAGGGTATTTGGAACAAGACAAAAATTCGATCGAAGTTGTAAAAAGTGAATTTTAGATACTACAGGTAAGTAGATAGCGTCCTAACTAATTTATCAATTAGTTTTTCTTATTAAAATTTATTTTGTTACATTGATTATTTTAATAATAATTATGTTGATTAGTGGATACTTTGTTAATTAAATTTCTTTATTTGATGATGGTGAAAAATGATTCATCATAGTATATGAATGTTTTACCCTTATGAGATATCCTTTTAAAATTAATAAAATTCCTTTGCATTAGTATTGGCAATTTTTGATTATTTAATAAATGCAAGCATGAGCATTAGATATGAAATTTTATTTTGGTAAGTTTTAATGCTTAAAAGTATTCATGCGAGTTTGATTTTGAGAATGAGAACTATATCTTGAAAGTGATGATTTTCTTGCATGTTTGAAAATGATTCTAAAAAGGAACTTTATATAGAACAGTGGTTGCTAATGACAGTTCCGTTAGCTCTTGGCATGCCATGGTACAGCTAGCTTGCAAGGTGTTTGTAGGAGGTGCTAGTCCTGTGCAATAGCTAACACATGTGGAATGGAGGGATGATTATTCGTGAACATTGTATTCACATTTGTCTTCGTGGCATAAACCGCGTTTGGTTATTTATCCTTATGGACTGTGTGTCCACGTTTGTTATTTGTTCTGATAAGTCCCCATAATTACGAGTTTTTAATTATTTGATAGACCTATTTTTCATTGATTTTGATTAATGACATATATATAATTATTTAATGCAATTATTTGCTTTATTGAAAGTACATGATAATAACATTTAATATGATACTTTAATGAATCAGGAATTTATTTAAAGTTACATAAAGTCCTTTTACGATGAAGTTTATTATATATTTGTTTGTAAAAATTTTTATTGCTAACACACATAATCATGTTAAACTTTCTTTTTATACATATTTAATTATTTATTGTTGGGATGCTATTCACTAAAAATTTATTTGGTCTTAGATTCATTAACTGGTGCTGACCCTATTGCTGACATTTAAAGGGTGAAAAATTGTTCTATGTGGTAGTATTTTGCTTAGCATTATCTCCTTTTGACATAAACATTTGAACTATGTATTTTATTTTAAAAGTAAGGTTAGTTAGCTCCATATAGCCTATAGCTAGGTTTCTATTGTAGTCTATGTTGTTTGCTAGTTGGAAGGAGTTGAGCTCTTGATTGATATTATATTTGGTGTAAAATATTGACAGAATAAAATTTTTTGGGGAGATCCTATTTGCTAGGAAGATTCTACTGACATTTTATAAAAATATTGAAATTTTTAATATAATAATTTTATTAAACATGTTATAATTTTCAGTACAGATTCAACTATGTTTTAAAATGAAAAAAAAATTTCTCAATTCAGGGCTAAAGGAATGTGTGATATGGTCTACATCCCGTGCCGGTCACCCTTTGTTTTTGGGGTGTGACAAAAATAAAGTTCTCTTAGTAGGATCTAATTTTTGAATTTTTATTTTTTAAAAAATATTTTAAGCTTTTTTTTAATATTATATTTAAAATCATCTGGTTTTCTAAAGAACCTCTCCGGTTCCTAATTCAACTTTAGTTGTTAGCTTAATAGGAGCTTAACTCTTATTCAATCTAGCTCAATAATTAATTTTTTTTATCTAAATCAAGTTGTTAAGAATGGCTTCAGTCGATAGTTATAAGTGTAAATGCAGATACTTTTGAGTCTACGTATATCTAATTTAATCAAGATTCACTTATATTTAACAAATTATAAAATTATAATTTATAATACTATTAATTTATGACATTTTATTAACATACGATACATTTTTTCTTATATTTATTTTATATATACATATAATATTATTATAATTTTATATTTATATATACATTTAATATTATTTTATTTAATATTATTATATTTTTATTTTTATTTAATTTTATGATTTTTAAATGATGATGAAAACTTTGCTCATTTGAAAATAGTTTAAATGTAAAATTACACCTTAAATTATAAAAGTGAGTCCCATTAGCTACAATAATGGACTTTTAAACGGCGAGAGCAAACATTACTACAATGAGTAGTTTACGGGCAATATTGCTTTCCTAAAAATAATTTAAGAGTAAAGTTGCACTTTAACCCTAAAATGAAAGCAATTTACAAAGCATGAGTCTAAGACAAAGGAGAAAGAAAATAAGATGTATCCTAGGAAATATTTAAAAAAAAATTACTAACAAAGGACTCAATTAACAGACTAATGTTAGACATTAAAGGCTGGATGGAATAGTGTTTCTGTAAGAGATAATTGTAAAGTTTCTTTTTGTAGCAGGCCAAAGAAAAATTATAATGATAAGCTAGTAATTCTTTGAAATGTCATATTCTTGATCTAGATCAACAATGCTCAATAGACACAGCATTTTTTAAGGTCTGATTGTAATTTTCTCTTAATTTAAATTATCTCAACAACTTTTTCATGCTTAACCTATTTGACTAGTAATTTCTCTCACTATTGAGACCTCCAGTATCTTCCCTTCTCAAATCCATTCTTGCTATATTGATAATCCTCCTTAGTTTCCCGAACCTCAGACTATGAGTTCATCACAAAGGGACCATACTAGGACTGTGTATTTAACATAGAAATATATTTCTGCAACTCACTTTATTCAATAGAGTGATGGTCAATAGATAGGCTTACTGAACACAGTAACTGACCACGATATAGTGGGCCCACATGCACGTGAAGAGTCAAACAAATGATAACAAACTTAGTTAGCCTAACAGACTTGACTATCCTAATATCCCCCTACAGAAGTGAAAAATTTGAGAATATGAGACAAACACGTGGAAAATAAAAGGAAACATCATATAGTATCTTTAGCAACAACATTAAAACGTCAACGAAGATGAATGAAGAAAGCAGTGGCTAGAGCTTTAATGAGAATGTTATCTACTTGATCGTCAATTGGAACATAGCCAACCTGAACTAACCCAGCAGAAACCTTTTCCCAAATAAAATGCAGATCGAGCTCAACGTGTTTGGTCTTAGCATGAAGGACAGGGTTGGAAGTGAGTGCAATAGTCCCAGAGTTATCACACCAGATAGAAGGAGTGTTAACAACTGAAACGTGTAGTTCTCTGAGTTAAGCAACAACCCATATAACATCAGTAATAGAGTCAGCAACACTTCAATACTTTGCTTCTGTAGTACCATGAGACACTTCGATACTTCGCCTATTTGCGAGATACCCAAGTAATAGGACAGAAGCTAAGAAATGTACAAAATCAACCAACACACTTATAGTCCTCACAATCATGACCCCAGTCAGCATTAGCGAATACCTGTAGTCCATATTGAGTGAGAGGTTGAAGAAGAATGCCATGGTGAGTAGTACAAGCCAAATAGCATAAAATGCGCTTAGCACAGACCCAGTGAGGTTTGCGGGGATCTTGTAGATATTGGCTTAACTGATTCACCGCAAAGGCAATTTCAGGCCTAGTATAGCAAAGATATTGCAGCTTACTAATGATACTGTGACATAGAGTAGAATCCAGAAGGGTAGTACCTGCAGTAGATGATAACAACGTATCAGAAGCCATGGGGCTAAAGTAGGCATGAGAGGATAGCATATTAATCTCAGATAATAAATTCCAAATATATTTGTGTTGACTTAGAAAAAGTCCAGTAGAAGAACGATAGAACTCAATACCCAAAAAATAGGACAACTCCCCAAGATCCTTGAGAGAAAAGAGACTGCTCATGTTACTAATGAGAGTTTGAACCACGCTTTTAGAGCTGCCAGTGACTATAAGATCATCAACATAAACCCGAATATAGACAATATTAGAATCCTGCTGATAGACAAACAAACAAGAGTCAGCCTTAGACTAAACAAAATAGAGACTACATAAAGAATCCCGGAGGGTGTGAAACTAGGTCCATGGACATTGTTTCAGCCCATAGATTGCCCTTTTCAACTTACACACCAAAGGTCAACCAGAAGACTTATCAAAACCTAGGTCAAAACCTGCTCATGAACCATCATTGGAGGTTGTGACATTGTTTCATCAAGCACCCTGTGCAACCAATGTTGCTTAACCATCAGATAAACTTGTTATTTCCACAATAAGTAATTGTTATCATCAAGGCGAATGTTGATTTTTCTTGTTTGAAAATCCTCTTTGAGTAGTTGTTGAAACAGGAAATATTGCAGAGCCCATAGCTTCAGATCTTGATGATTAAAGAACAAAGAAAGATGAAGTGTTTCATTGTGACGTTATCAATCCTAAAAAGGAGACTACCTCACGAGATTCAAAATTTTCAAGCCATCAGAGTATATCGAAGCTGACGGAGGTCGTCCAGCTCTGATGCCATACCTGGATCGTGTATTTAATATAGAAATATATTTATGAAGCTCACTTTATTCAATAGCGTGATGGTTAATATATAGGCTTACAGAACACAGTAACTGACTTAGTTAGCCTAACAGACTTGATTATCCTAATAGACCATACTTACTTGCAGGCTCATTCATTAGCATCACAAAAGGAACTTGATTAAAGTAGCATCACAATAATGAGAGCAAATATATCACATGTTTTGGCAATATATATATAATATGCAAAGGACAAAATTGCTATTAGCCACTCCTCCCTTAAACAATATAAGATATTTTTAAACAAATCACTCCAATAATTAAGTTAGTAAATTATCTTTAAACTTATATCATTCTTTTCATATTTGCCCTTATTTAATAGGGTGTCTCATTTAAGGATAAATGGTTGATTAGTTTATTTATTAAGGACATGTAAAAAAAAAATACATTAATTATAACTTAAAACACTAAAAATGCTTTATATTTTTTAATATCCACCTCTCAAAAAATGATTTACATCTTTTAAGAAAAGGGAGTAGTTAGATTACATAGGGTGGTGACCAATCTACCATACAAATGATTTTTTGAGATGGGGAGTTTTTCAAAATATAAAAATTGAATATTAAAACTTATTATGGTTTACTTAATTAGACCATATTCATTTAGGAAAATGATAGTGAGGTCTCAAAAGATTGAACTAAAAAATAAATCATAAATAAAGATATGCAAAAATCAAAAATAACTATTTAGAACTTTTAAATCTTGAAATTTAATTGAAGTACAAAGATCCTTCTCTGCTATTTCAAAATTATTGTTATGAGCTTATGACTAAAAGTACCTTCAAAGTTAAGTAACTAAATGTGTATTTCATTTTGGGTGCTTTAGTCAAACCATTATTTTTTTAAAACTGCAGAAAAAAAAGAACATAGTTCTGAATTTCAATTTCAACATTTTGTGATCCTACATAGTTATTACTGATTTTTAGTTTCTACAGCTCTTTGATTGTGATTTTTCCTTAAACTAACAATAGATAGGTTCTTGAGATGATTTTTTTTAAAAAAAATGAGTTATAAATCTTGATTTAAATAGTTACAGGTAAAGATCTTAGTTTTATAATCTTATAATTATACTTAAAATTTAAATACCATATTTATAATTAAGACTTTTTCTCTGTAATTGTTTATTTTTAACTTATTTTTCATTTAAATAAATTGTTTAGAATTTAAGTGTCATTAATTTAATTTTGGAAAAACTGTCATTCTCCCAATTCATTTTAATAAAATGCTGAGTATAATTACTTAATATTAATAATACTATTCAATAATTAACTTAAACAATTGATCATGTTGGACACAATAGATGATCATTTTTGTGTTTGAGAAACCAGTAGAGGTAATCACTTCTTGATATTATATTGTGTGTGTTGTGGTCAATTATATGTGTTTTTGAATTATGAAATATTTGTGTTGATAGCTCAAGTGTTAGATTAAATTATATTTTGTTGAGAAATTGTGTTGTCAAATGGAATATTAACTATTTATGAGAAAGTATTTAAATTAAAAAGTGTATTTGAAA